GATTGCATGTGTAAATATTGTAACATAAGGACAGTTTTGATCGTAGCATGGTGACGGGAGATATTACCCATGCCAACCAACTATATATGACTGTAACTGACACTCACACCAGCAGAGTCAAGCTATTCAGGCTACATGCATATGCAGGTTAACAAAGACAAACTCCACAACCCCGTCTTTTGTGGCCAAGGTCTGGGATACGAAATACATTGGTAAGTTTTGAAATCCCGTTGAAGCTACTAGTACTTGTATATTTATTGGGGTGGTTGCCGTTGATTTGTTTGTATGTATACGTGCCAACGACTTTGATATATGCGTATGTTTTATGCCAGGATGGTTCTTCTGTTTCCTGTGAAACCAATAAATATGGACGTAGCTTTTCCCCAAGAATCTTCCTGATTAACATAAATATATAAAAGACAAAAGTCTGAAGATCCTTTGTACAGATATAATTTATTCAATTCACACTGTCGATGTGATCATCATGAGAATGATGTTGCTATACTTTATATATAATTATTATTCACGTTGAACTTTGTATGCCCGTGAGTGTTCCGATCAGCCATCGCCTTGATAAGAACATGTCCGGATTAATGGGGGTATTGATTAACGAGGTTTTACTATGCACAACCGATTGATGAAATTTTGAAGGGAAAACTGTAACTACTGGACCAGACAATCCAGTGATCAACAGCATGAGCATCGATCTGCGCAAAATATAACCGATGGCATGTGTCAACCAAGTCAGCGAGCCTGACCACCCGATCCCGTTAGTCTGATAGTAAACACACTGAGAGGTATATCACCGTATCCTCCACGCTGCAGTGACGTGGGTCAATGTTCAACTTGGAACAGCGTCATAAGATCATTCATTGTAAACTGTGTATATGATGACGTATGTTGTTGCTGCTTGTGTAAGTGTACTTTGCCACTGATGGCTAAATATTTCTTTTCTATACCTGTTTACACACTGATAGTCCTCTTGGCTTGTATACAACATTGCCCAATCCCCGGACTGTGTCAATGATCAATTCTATCACCAATGTTATTCACAATAGTAGTTCAGCAGAACCGGACCGACGACAAGGTCTGACTTAGTCTATCTCACAGTCCCTGAACCATATTATTTTCCCTACAGCCTAGTCCTCCCTGCAATGCTAAAGCCCTAAATGAAGCAAGTCTAGATTTCCCCAGTGAGTTTCTCCTTTTCAATTTAAATGGGTTTATCTGTTACAATCAAAATTATATTCAGAGACTAAGCGTTAGTCTTGGTCCGACTACAAGCAGCATTTAGCGAGGGGTATTCATGGCGAGAAATGATACTGTGTACCAGCAAATGACCTATTTATGCTTGCTTGTCTAACCGAAACACGGAAGTATTTCAGTCGCCACACTGTGTGAGAAACCGAAACTTACATCAAGTTCATCAATGTGGGACATGACCCATTTTGTTTCAAAACATTAATTTCGCCGAAGCATTGTCAGGGATGTGAGACGTTTGATACACAGATGCCTTGAAAACAAATTAACCACTAATAATGCTTCTCATATTTTTAACTCCGTGTCCTACAAAGACAACCTGAAAACCACTGTGGTACGAGATGTCAAGTTTTACATGGCCTCCGTTATATGTATATAATTATTATGTTTCTTGACCCCGGTTGCATCTGACAACCATATAATAAGTGTCCGGTCTCAAAGAAATCGCCATGGACGCATATCCACACCTGCATGCGCACATGACTATTAATGCAGATTGACCAATGTCAAGGAACACACGTGGCTGACTCACGCTGTGATCACCCGAGATTTGGCCACGCCCCCTAGCGGCGACATTTCGCAATGTTTAACCGAAGGTAATGTTAGGTGATAGTGAGATGTCGGTAGCTATCAGATTTAAACTTCCTTAAAGGACGCGTCTATATAAAAGCACTCCCAGTCATATATAGTTTATTCGTTCCCTGATCTTACCATGTGATGTAGACGGATACGCTGAACCAGTGTCGTCTTTTCATACCACTTGTGCCTTTTCCGATCCACGTATTGTCTTGCCTTAAAATACATACTGGTGAGTGCTTCGTGTTTTTATGCCCCCGCCATATATGGCTGGGGGCATATAGGGTTACCCTCCGTGTCCGTCCGTCCGTACGAAACAGGGAATGTACTCCATCCACTTCTCCACAAAAAACGCTCTGTGGAATTCAATGAACTTATACATGGGCTTTCTTGGGACTCTAATGGTGTGCATCTCATATTTTGTTTTTGTATTTTAAGTTTTTTTTGTATGTTTAGAGAATTTGAACTAAGATATATTTTGTTGAATTTCTCTCTGATGGTAGTGAAATAGGGGATTAGGTCTATCTACTTCTCCACAAAAACTGCTTAACAGAATTGATTAAGCTTAACGTGTGTTTCATTGGGACTCGAAAGGTGCGCATCTCACAGTTGCATAGATGTTTATTGAACTTGTTCGTGATTTTTGTTCAATTATTGATCTTTATATGATAATAGGTTGTGTAATCTACCCCCTCAACACATTGTTTATTAGTGTTCTCAAGTACTTCAGTGGGACCCTGAATGTGTGAACTCTTCCTACAGCAGCGGGGGCATCCGTGTCCCTGGACACAATGTTTTCTTGTTATTGCTCCCACTGTCACCTTTGTGATGTGATCGTGTGTTCCATGGTTCTCTACTTAAAGTTGAATGTAGATTTAATGTCATCTTCATCTGCGTTTCATGACATCATTTATCAGTTTCATTTCCTGATACATACATGAAGATCATGTCAAGTCTATATTCATAACATTATAATTTTGAACACTTTCTGATATGTGCATTTGTTACTAGTATTAACTCCCTTTACCGTCCCAGGATCCGCTTATCGTGGGTTCGATTTCCAGCTAACTGAAGCAAAAAACGCCGCACATGAGTGATCTGTCAGTAACAATTTTGTCGCGCCGCACTGGGTAGTTGTTGAAAAATACATAGGTTTTGACGTAATTGATCTTCAATAAATGAACTGCCACAAGGATATTAATGTTTCATAAATGTCGAAAGTATCAGATGATACATCAAAATGTCAAACAATATGCTTTTAATGTGCAGTGGGTGTCATCATTACGTAAGGAGGGCGATGCAAACAATGCGTATCTAGCTGGTGTCACTTAGCCCTATATTATTCGTGTTTGACAATGGGTCAGACCTATTTCTGTTACTGTATTCCAGTATGTTTCAATAAGAGAGGCTGAGCTGGGATTTTGTTCGTGTGAGGAATGGGGAGAAGCGTTAATTTGACAAAGTCATTTCGGAGTGGATCTCGGGAACATCGGCATTGTAGACATGATGATGGCATTAGACGCTTCGTGTTAGCAATGAACACGTAATGTTGGCGATGGCCATGTAATGTTAGCAATGGATAGATATTGTTGACAATGATATCATGTTGGCAATGAATACGTCATGTTGGCAATGACGACATAGTGTTGGCAATGGTCACATAGTACTGGCAATGATCACTTAGTGTTAGCAATAGTCACACAGTGTTGACAATGATCATATAGTGTTAGCAATAATCACACAGTGTTGGCAATGACGACATAGTGTTGGCAATGGTCACATAGTACTGGCAATGATCACTTAGTGTTAGCAATAATCACACAGTGTTGACAATGATGAGACAGTGTTGGCAATGATCACTTAGTGTTAGCAATGATCACACAGTGTTGACAATGATCACATAGTGTTGGCAATGATCACATAGTGTTAGCAATGATCACACAGTGTTGACAATGATCACATAGTGTTGGCAATGATCACATAGTGTTAGCAATGATCACATAGTGTTGGCAATGATCACTTAGTGTTAGACATAATCACACAGTGTTGGCAATGGTCACGCAATGTTGGCAATTATCACACAGTGTTGGCAATGGTCACATAGTACTGGCAATGATCACTTAGTGTTAGCAATAATCACACAGTATTGGTAATGATCACACAATGTTGGCAATGATCACTTAGTGTTGGCAATGATCACACAGTGTTGACAATGATCACATAGTGTTAGCAATGATCACATAGTGTTGGCAATGATCACATAGTGTTGGCAATGATCACATAGTGTTAGCAATGATCACATAGTGTTGCCAATGATCACATAGTGTTGGCAATGATCACATAGCATACGCATAGCATATCTTGAATTACTGGAACACAGTACCACCAACATGTTATGTGTCTCAGTACACACATAGTACCATGCAGTCATCTCTACATCTCTACAGACATGACTATCAACAGCAGGACAACATGACTGTCAGCTGTTGTATTGCTAACTACGGAAGTAACAACTCCCCACCTCCTCCAGTTCACATGTTTCCTCCCATCTGCCTCTGTGTACAACACTGACACGGAAATACAACACTGTCTGGTAACGTGAGCTGTAATCCCCGGTGATGGCACTATAGTAATTCTATCATGACAACAGTAACACCAGGCTGTCATTTCAGTCACATGGTCCTCGGGAAGTACAGGGTCCCATCACGTGGATCAGATGAAAGCTCATTACGCAAGTCATGACAGACAGAAAGGCTCTTTATAGTGAATCTAATTATACATCTCAGCAAGCATATGTTATAAGCATGGATGTTGAGGGAAGGATATTGAACCTGGGTTAGTAGAGTTCCCACACTAAATATTGACTGTACATTCTTCTCGCTGGTGTTATATGTACAGTGTTTTCACAACAAGGGGAAGCACAAACTGGCATTGTGTATGTGGAGTGAGTGAGTGAGTATGACTTTATGTAGCTCTTAACAACATTTAAGCAATGAGTGAGTGAGTTTTCAAATACATACTCCAAGATGAGATTTGTCTGATGGGTAAACTATTTTTACAGCTTATCATTAGTGAAGCATTGTGCATATTGCTTGTCATTTCAGCACGTTCCACGAGTAACGACACTGGGACTAAATAATGAGTTATTGTTATAATTGTTTCAGGAACTAGAAGAACTCCATGCTGTCCATATCGATGGTTGGGAAAGCCTTATCCCCGATGACGACGTCGGAACATGCTTCAGATGCCTACAAAGACGCTGTCGCCTTCATTGGGCAGTTGCGTAACAATGAAGAGAAGCTTATTGAAAGAGGCAAATTTCTTCTCAAGAAGGACAAGGACTACTGCAAGCGCGTCTTTTCAACGCAAGTTGAAGGATGGACACCGTTCCACGCCTTTGTGATGCGTGGCGCGAAAAAGCTGGTCAAACTCGCCCTTAAATCTGGTGTGTGTGCCTATTTAGAAATGGGTGCTCCCGAGGGGTTACCGAGCAGGTGCACGCCGTTGCATCTGGCAGCGCACCGTGGTGAAATCAGCATTATACAGATTCTTACAACATGGCGCAATTGTGAACAAAAGAGATGGGAGCAATCATACCCCTGTATACTATGCAATGAACGCCAAACATACTCTGGCAGTGAAAAAGTTGATAAAATACGGCAGTGATACTTCTGAGATGACCCCCTGCGCAAAGGAGGATGTACTACGAAATGACTGAACCTCGTGCGCCTGCGCTGTTGTGTCTCCCTACAAGAAGTGCCTCCATTAGGGGAAACAGGAACACGTAATCAAGGTCCGGGTTTGAACCCCGACATCAGAAAACTGTGATACTTACCCAAGCTCGTGTCTCATCGGTCAAAATCACCAGGGATATGTCGCCGGCTAGTGCTTTGTGAGCAGTTGATATCTCCAACCAATCAGACGTCTTCGTCTCGCACGGACGCCAGTTAACTTCCAAATGCAAATAATAGGAAGTCCTTCAGATCAGGCAACGTGTCATCTTTCCTTATAAATAATATTTTATATCCATTTATCGAACTTGTCAGGTATATGATTGTCAAAAGTATGGTGTTTTCTATTCAAACATTTACCATACGATCGTAATTAAAGCCAATTAGGTTTCTAACCAACAAAGGGTGAGTTAAAAGTTGGGCAATATGAGAAGGGACAATAATTCAAAAGCCAAAGAATTCCATGCTACACAATATGAACGTAGTATCATATTGCAGAGAATGTTGAATCTTCACGACATCCGTTTCTATACTTGTACATAAAAAGCTCTAATCTTGCTGGGATCTTTTGGATTTTTATGGAAAAAAAGTGCCTATGAGAGTGGACGACACAATATTCATGCTCACATCAATGATATATTAGTCTTAAAGTTAGTTTACATTGTTGTAAAAAACTTGTATTCTTTTTGGATCAATGCGTTAGGGCTGAATTAACGATTGCTTATAATGCTGATGTGAACACAAAAGAATGGAAAATTTCTTTCATATAATATATATTATGTATGTGATGTCTAATAGGAAAAGACGTAAAACGCAGGGTTTGTTTTATCTCAGACCTTTATAAAATCATCTTCTGTAGTGTTATCTGTTCCTTAATTTCATTCCTTTGGTTTTTGAAATAATGAGTCATGACATAGATTGAACTTGTCTGTGAATGTGCAAGAAATGTTCTACAATATGTTGCGCAGATGCAACTTCACAAGCAAGTAGTTAGTTGTAGTGGTTTCCGAAAACAATTCACGTTTTTTGTAAGGACCGATCATTTTTTGGGGGTCAGACTTTGCCTATTTATGAGCTAGATATTTGTACAGCTAGAGCTTCAAAACCAATGAATTTTGTTCAGTTAAAGCTATGGGTCTAAATACAGGTTTCCTAAACAAACAACACTTCTAAACAAAGTGTTTTAGACAATATCTTTTTCTGTTCGGTTTTATATATGGTTTTAATGAGAGTCACAACTTCCTTTCCCCAACACTGGAGGCAATCTCGATGTTAATCTGAATGCATGTCATAAATCTTTACAGTCGCGCAAAGAAAGGTGAACTTCCAGGTTCTAGCGTAGTCGGTAAAAACACGTGCGAGAAATAAACCTCGGATTTAAATACTGTGGAAATGGGATTGATTTGGTGTAGATATTCCAGTGATGTTTCATATCCACACATTGCCACGAATGCCACATAGGGGAACGATCTCAGTGAAAGCATTTACAATCAAAAATAGATACGTGTATATATTCGTGATTTCAGTGATTCTTTTCATCTGATTCAAGTGCACTTATTCATATCAAAGCTGTTTTGTCAGCATAAGGAGTAGAGTGTGTTATATGATTCGCATATGCATGGTGGCGCTCTGTAGGTGTATCGCTGACTGTCACCATGTTTCATTATGGAGTCAGCTGTTCTGTAGCACATGCTCGCGCCATTCTTCAAGACGTCACCTCTGTTTTACTTCGTAGTAACTATCAAGAATCATTGTTTTGAAACTTTTCGAAATGTTCGTATATTTTGGATGTACATTCTTATTTCTTTGCCAAATGAATGGTTTGTGTATGTCATTGTCCGTAAATCCTATCTATCGTTGACATTACGATTGTGTGTTGACAGTCTTCTTTTATACTTCTGAGTTTTGTCCGATTATCGATGACGTAATCCATTCCAACACGAATCAGAGTGCCTTATGTAAAATAGCTGCATACTGTTTGTGTTTTCTGTGATATTTGCAATTATATAGCTTTGTTGGAGAATTTTGGCTGGGAAAAGAGTGTTTAACTTAGATTCCTGGCTTTGTCTCATCTTGTATTGAATCGGAATCCCGGACTATTTTGCAAGATTTCCATGTCGACGTTATTACTTGCGGGGGAAATTTATAAAATCGTGTGTGAGTGTGTCACATACAATTCAGAGGCACTTGTCCCCAAGTCTCTCATCTTGCATTCCAGATTTAAGTTTTTCGGTTCTTTGGTCTTGCTTTTTGGGCCCAGGTTAATCAAAATTGACCAACATTAAATGTATATCCGACCACCTCGGAACGTCTGTACACAGGTTATGGTAAAATGTCCGGTTATTTTCAATTCACATGCGTGATGATCAATATATTCAAAAGGGAAGAGGCGATGTGGTCGGGCCTTGAGACTTATTGTGTGTCTTCGGTAAACAATGATGTGGCTCGTTGATCATGCGTCAGCCACGGTTTGCCTTGTCCAGAATCGATTAACACCGGCCGCCGTCATCTATATGCCATGTCAGTTGCATGTGGCATTATCACCTTTCACCCATTCGCTCAACCCTGCCAAAGGAAGACTTTTGTATGACATCGTTTTACTCTGGTGCATGTGAAACACATTCCACACGTTTCAGCTGGCAATGTTCATGAGTCCAGTCAGCTGATGGCTATCATATTTCTTGATTTCTGTTGCTGGTTAAAGATGTCTCAATGAAATATATTTGATAATAAATAATAAATTCTTGTGTAATAAATATTTTGATATATTGATTACCACAAGAGAAAGCAAAAATAACGAAGCTATTTTCACAACCGCTTCCTTTCGAAGAATAGCAATAACGGTCATTTTGTGGTCAGAAAGATAATGGGTAATAACTACGTATATATTGCTACGTATATATTGCTACTGACCTTTGGTCCTCTTGGCTTTTCTTTCTTATTAACTTTTTTTCTCTTTAAGTTATATTACGTTTGTTTATTTACTTTTTCTGTTTGTTTTGGGTGAAGTACTGTTTTCAAGTTGTGCCGCTCCTTCTGCCATCGGCCAGCCCAACATGTAATATCAATTGTAATTGTTATTTCTGTATTATGTTTGTTAAGTTTGAAATATTTATTGTCTCAAGTGTGTATTCGATCATTTCACCTCATCTGTCCTACATCCATGTATTGTTACAGTAACGACGTTGTGTGCAGAAACACCGTATACCGCTATAGATCCTAACGTGTCTGCACATCGTCATACAGAGTATTGTTGATAGAAAACCTCCATAAACACAACCGTCTTGCAGAATTTGAACATCATGATTATGGTATTTTGTAAACGAGGATATTTACAATCAAAATCATGTGTCTGCCAAAAGGGTTGATTGGGTAGCGCAGTGGAAAAAGCGTTTGCTGTTCACGTCGAAGGAACGAGTTCGATTCTCCACATGGGTTTGACGTAAAGAGCCCATTTCTGGAGTCTCCTGCCTTCTTATTGCTTGCTGCACCATATACCTTTACAACAGCTATGCCACATGACTCTCATAGTAGCCAATAACCGCGAGTGTTATATGTGTTTGTTTGCTGAGTGCGGCGTAAAACTAAACTCACTCACTCACTCATATGTGTTTGTTTACAACTTTCGTTCATTCGTTTTGAACCAGGGCATCATAAATGAATACTCCTTAGATGTTAAATATTGTAAAACTAATCGTCTTCAATAACAAACTGATTAGAAACATTTTAATGAATATCAGCAAACGTCTTGACACAATATATAGTCAATGTATTAACTCAATATTATATTTATCCGTAGTAATATTTTCTTCACAGATTGTATCAAGTTCGTGTTAGGGTCAGATATGAAAAGATTTATTGACAAAACATTGACTGAAAAATACATTTTGCTAAAATATTCACAGGACAGAACATTAACATAATTTTCACAGCCTTTTCACCACTAACGTCAAATAGAATGTGTCTGATATTCTTTTGCATTGACATTGAATTAATATATACTGCCGACAATACCTAGACACAGATTCTAAGAGAACTCCACGGGTAGTATGTAAGTTAAGAGTCATTACGAAGTACAATCATTTTTCATGAAACTTACATTCCTTGCATCATTACACACATGAGAATGAACATTGGTGTGAAATGTAAACAGAGCGATGTATATCAAATATATTGTGTACTAATATATACACCTATTCGCCAGATAAGGTGGTCTTATGTTATAATATGTAACCATGTTCAAGATTGGTTGTAACGAATGACATTATAGATCTTGCTCCACCAAGGAATCTGACATTCTGTTCAACGTTTGTTCAGTAGCAATGTTAAACATTGGTTGTAACGAATGACATTACAAAGCGAATTGTTCGATCAAGAAATCTGACATTCTATTGAACGTTTGTTCAATACCAATGTTAAACATTGGTTGTAGTGAATGACATAAAATCGTTTTGTTTCCATCAAATCTGACATTCTATTGAAAGATCATGTAGATGACACATTTCAATACAATCCGAGTCAAGATGCGAGTCATTTCTTTGTTTTCAATATAATATGAGTCAAAATGTGAATCATTGCTTTTTGTTTTCAATGTGGGTCGCAATATGGCTCATTGTTTATTTT